ATGTATGTGTGTGTGTGTGTGTATATATATATATATATATATACACGCAAAAAAATGAATATTGTTGTGTTGATATTCACTTCTTAATTCAGAGGGCAATAATGGGATATTTTACAATTAGGAAAAAGGCTCTCATGTTCTCTTTCAGGTTTCTCTCTGTATATATTTATAAATTTAGAATTATCTATTTTAGTTTTTTCGATTTATTGCATTTTCTCATAGTATATGTTTTGCATGAGAACATTATTAAATAATATTTGCACTTCTTTTTTATATTTTTAGCCTTATTTCTTTAAGGTTTCAATTATTCCAATTTTCAGTTACTATTTTTATATGCATTGTTATAAAATTATATTCTAAACACGTCATGATATAAGACAAAACAAATATATGTAACATATAATGAGACGAAATTGAAGACTGCAGATATGTGTTACCCACCGGACATATTCATGGCTACATACTTCATCGTGCACATTTATGCACATAGAGGCGCCAGTAAACGGGTTCTATCTTACACATACGTCCATGGCAGACTTCTCTCTGGATATACTTCACATTTTTTATATTTTATATTTAAATCAATAATCATGGTGTCACAATTTATCATTAATCGATCAATAATTTATATTTGTTACATTAGCAATCTTTTTTAATATATATTTTTTATAAATCGATAAAAATATGTAATATTGATAATTGATAATCTGTAATTGAAATGTATTAAAAATTTTATTTTATTGATGACAATTTAAATTGCATACAGATAAAATTTATATGTTGTAAATATTACACAATATTTGATTAAATTTTAGTTAACATTTTATAAATTTGGGATTGTTGTAAACTTATTAATAATTAAATCAAAACAATATATTCTATACTTCTATATATTTATAATATTTTTAGATTATTATTTTGTAGGCATTGAAATAATTTTTGTACACGATATTATTATCTATTAATTACTATTATTAAAAATAACAAATTTTATTTGATATATTTATATATCAAATTTATTTTAACAATTATAGTATATTCTATGCACTATATCTTAATTTATTTGTCAATTTTATGTTTTGAAACTTCATTGACTTCAACACACACAATTTTAATTTTAAGTACAATTTCTTTTAAAAAAACTACATATATGTATAATTTAATATATATTAATTTACTGTGGTTATAATATTGTCATATATACATCTTTCTTTTAACTTGCATTTTTTAAATAAAATGTATTGGAATAATTTTATTTAAATTCTTGAACTTCATTCTTCTTTTGTTTCAACAAAAACAACCGATTTAATCAAAGAATGTCAGAATGAAATGTTTGACTGTACTTTGTGGCAGAAATAAATTAAATATGTTTTCATCAAGATTTCATGTAAGTAAACCATAATTGATAGTTTGCTGATATTGTAGGGCATATCGTTGGACTATAAGCCACAGTTCGGCATAAAAGTGGTAGTGCATGACATCATGTAGGTATATGAGACATGCATTTTAAAATTATTGCGTATGCGAAAATATAGTTCTGCGTAGAGACGCAAAATTGCAAGTTTTATACCACACTAATGACATAGTCGTCGAATGCATAGACGGAAGTTGCAGATGAAAAATTGAGTTGTGAAGCTATAGACTTTTTTGTGATCATCAATAAAATCTTCTTATTTTGTTTTGACGCAAAGAATATATTTGTTGTATTATAGTAGTGCTCAATATACATAGGTATACATATATGTATATTTTTTAGGCACCAATCCAAAGACACTGAATTAAAATTTATCTTTAATTTATAGTTAATTTCTTTGTAATAAAAATCTAATTAAGTATAATTATTTCATAATTATTTAATATACATTATGTATATAATTTATTAACTAAGAATTATTTGTAAATTATAATGAACATTATACAAACATAATATTTTTTCTATAATATTGAAAGTAATCAGAAAAGAAATAAAGAAGTTATATTTAAATAATATTTAAATTTAATTTAAATAATACAAGAATGTTCTGTATTAATTGTATAATAAAATTGTTTTATTGTATTTTTATCAAATATTACAAATAAAAAAGAAATGAACGTTTTGACGTTTACATTTAAAATTCTTACTATTTGCGGATGTTGGCCACCGTATTCATGGACGACACGATGCAAATGTATAATATATGATGTATATACGATCCTCATAGTTTTGTTAATAAATACATTTACATTATCGCAATTGATGGATTTAATTCTGACTGTGGACAATGCCGATGATTTCTCCGAGAATTTCTATGTGATGCTTGCTATGTTCGTATCATGCTGTAAGATGTTCAGTTTATTGAGAAATCGTAACAACATTACGATGCTGATTGATATTCTGATGAAAAAACCATGTAGACCTACTGAACATGATGAAATAAAAATTCGACAGAAATTTGATAAGATTGTACTGTAAGTATCTTAAAATAATTAATAATTTAATTATTGTTTAATATAATACATTATAAAAATATTATATGTTGTAAAGAATTAAATCTCTTCATTATATTACAAATATTATAAAAAAAAAATAACAATGACGTAAAATATTATATAGTATATGTTATATACTTAGACATTAAGTATTATAGAGGAAAGTCGTCAATACTGATATAGGTCTTCTAAAGTGATTATTTCTCAAAAACTAAATAGTTGGATATAACAGGGTAATAGGAGTCAAGCGATAATTCTTGTGCAAACTAATATGGTTAACAAAACAACTTTAATAATAATTAAAATAATAATAAAAGAGACAATATGATATTGTAATTACAAAAAAATTTTTTACAAACTATTTCGAATTTCTGAAACGAAATTAGTTTGTAAAAAATTTTTTTATAATTACAATCATATTGTCTTTGAAGATGGCTCAAAAATAAGCCGAAATATAAGCGGATTATTATTAAAGTTGTTTTGTTAACTATATTGATTTTATCATATTGGTTTAAACTATATTGATTTAACAAGAATTACTGTGCTTAACTTTTATTGTCCTGTTATATCCAATTATTTTTATCATTAAGGTGTCTTTAGGAGTTAATTTATATTCTCAGAACTATCGTACTTTATTAATACTAATAAAATCATGATCTGTTTAGCTAATTAAAGAAATACAAATTCATAATTCATGTATTTGAGGCTTGTTTCTATACCAAATCAGTTAAAAACGAATTTTACGAATGCGAAAATAAAATTCTTACAATTTTCTTTTGCAAATTGCGTAGTTTATATAATAGTGATTATATTATTGATAATATTATGTCATTTAAATGCTTGTAATTTCCTAAATCAGTTTTATTTATATTATTTTTTCTTTTAGTTTTTTCATTATACGATTTTAAATTTAAAATTGGGATGCAGCGTAAACCGCTTTATAATATTGCTTTATAGTGTCAAATAACTCTATTGAAGCTGAAGACAATCGTGTATATATGGAAAAACTCTTGAAAAACTATCGCGTTATATATTTGCTTCTTGTATAAAATAATATATAGAGTATAAAATAAATATGCATATGAAAATGAAAATCCAATGAAAATGTTTTATAACGAAGTGAAAAGATTCTGGAATATCTTATATACATTCATTTGTAGATCTTTTATACAGATAATTTCGGTAAAAGAGAAAGAATAAGAATATGTGGCATTACTGCCCACTGTATCAGTTTTGGAGCCCATTTTTTCAAACGCTCGTTTTTGTTTATCTTACGAAAAAAATAATTATTGCAAAATTACAACAGTATTATAAAAATTGCTTTTATCTATCTGATGGAAGACACTTTTTAAATTGTATTTATGTTTTTAAAGTTTTATTTTTATCTTTTATTTAAGAAAGTTATTGTTTAAAAGTAAAGGTATATGTATCGGTATCGGTGATTTTCTTCTACTTTTATTAAATTGATTTATTTAAAGATTAACTTTACATGACGTTAAATTAAAATGTTATGATTCAATAATAAATTAACATTAATGAAGGAAGAAAATGGGAAATTCGAAGATATATTTTACAGAACAAACACGCTTTACTACACGACTTTAGTGGAACTAACATGTGCGTTTGCATTAGCAACATCTGTGTTTAAAGACTACAGAAAACACAATCTAGCTTTCCGAGCATGGTTACCATTTAATTATTCTTCGCCAATGTTATTTCGGATCGCTTACTTTCATCAATCGATAAGTTTGACCGCTGGATCGGTCCTTCACCTTGCTTGCGACAGTCTAATTTGCGGATTACTGATGCACATTTGCTCTCAGTTGGAAATATTGGAATGTCGTTTGAAAAAAACTATTAATAAACCACATATTTTTCGGGAATGTGTCATACAGCATACATGCATTTTCGAGTTAGTTCTTTCTTTATCATTACTATATATATTATAGATAATAATTTCTCAAAATATAAATAATTATAAAAAATATTTGAAATTTATGTCCGGTTGATTCTAGATTTGCATTAATAACAAATGAAAAATTTAGATTAACAATCACCGTCCAGTTCTTAGTGAGTATGTTAGTAGTATGCTTCAATCTGCATCAATTGACGCAGACGAGTGTGTTAAGTGCGAAATATGTTCAAATAGTATTATATATGTTTTGCATGCTGACACAAATCTCTTTTTATTGCTGGTATGGAAACGAAGTTAAATTGAAGGTGCGCACGGAGCTATTTTTTATATTATATATGATTTTTTTTATTTTTTTTCTTTATATTGTATGTTTATTTATTTACATTTGCATATACTTTAATATCTAGTACATGATAGATATGATGTTAAATTATTGTGTTATAAAAATTAATTTATATTTCATACACATAAAATAAAATATATGAGAGAGAGAGAGAGAGAGAGAGAGAGAGAGAGAGAGAGAGAGAGAGAGAGAGAGAATACAAATACTTACATTTTGAATTAGGTTACACATTTTCTTTCATTTTATCATATTTTTTTCCATATAGATCAATCTATAAGAAAAATATAAGATTTGATCTCTCTGTTTTACTTTATAATTAAAATTTACTTTATAATTAAAATTTCGGAACATAATAAACAAAATTTTTTAAATATAGAGTCGGCAACTGGTCAGCAATATATTCGAAATGGAATGGTTTGTGTTGGATTATCGTGCGCAAAAAGATTTGTCAATAATTATGATGCGTAGTATCATACCTATTGAGTTCACCAGTGCTTATGTTATCCCTATGAATCTTCAATCATTTGTTAGTGTTAGTATAAATCTTTATTTTTAATCTAAAATTAGTTTGATAATTGACTTTAAATTAATAGCTAAAAGAGAGTGAATTTTGAGCAATTTGAATAGAATCATTGAGTTCAACTTTTTCAAAATTCGATTTTATTCATTAAATCAGAAAATCACAGTTCAAAATGTTTTTTCTTATTCAAGAAAATGTTTCAAGTAAAATTTATATGATTTAAAATAGTAATTAATTAAAAAAAAATCATTTTTTAAAAATGTTATAACAATTATCAACATTTTTAAAATAAAATTATATGTTTTTTTTACATAAATGATTTTTTCTAGTTTTCTGCATATTAAAGAAATTTTCAATACATTTTATTAGGAAAAAAATTATTAATTTGTATAGAAGTACATGATAAGTAAATAATTAATGTTTATTGTATAATGTTTATTGCAGTTGCTCAAGACATCGTATTCTGCTTTCAATATACTTCAACAAATGCAATAATAAAGTAGTAAGAAGAGTAGAAGAAAATCAATATTTATATTTTGTATTTATCAATTTTAATTTCTGTATAAAACAAATGTGTATAAAAATTAAATAAGATTGTACTAAATAAGATTACTACACGCGATATCTCAAAAGTTATGCAATATTTTCTCCTATTGACACTATTAATTAATAATATCTTCTTAATGCATATTTTTTCAATTCACTTTTTTCATTATGATTACTCTGATATTAATATGAGAAATTGTATTGAGCAATTTTTATGACCTACAGGGAAAAAAGTTAACATTTATAGCGAGTTATCATTTAACGATAATATTTTCAACGATAATATTTTGTGTATTTCCATCAATTAATAGGTTCGCTTATTGAAGCTATGCTACATAAAAAAATTGATGTAACGTTATTACTGAACTGTATATTTTTTCTATAGTATTTTTACTTATGATACATGTCCATATATAAAATATTTTTACATATTATTTTATATTAACGTGCATGTGTCTACAAGATTGTGGTTTATTGCAGTGTGATAGAATATTAAAGTTTGACTGAATGGAACACAAATGGATGTACGATATATGAACATTGCATTATTCATTGCATAATTTTCAATTTCTGTTTTTTATTCTTCGATTAGAACTTATAGTTCTTATACATATTTCAACAAAGTATTTTTCGTATAAAATATCATTATCATGATTTCATACAATATCATATCTTTATTTAATGATTGCACTGTCTTAGCATGAAAATATTATTACACAAAGGACATAATTATAGTCTAAATAATAAAAATTCTTGAGGGAGGAAATTGAAGGAGGAGGAGGATATATCGTATTATTATCGGAAAACTGCGAGAGTCTTTTTACAAGAGACTATAGACATTTGGTGATCGTCAGTCTCTCAAGATTTCACTGTGCATTGCAATATCACTATAATATTAACTTTGTTACTACAGCTATAGCCATTCATAACGAAATTAATTAACAATTAGTTTTTAGTAACATGTAATTTGTTTGCTAAATTAATTTATAATAAATAATTATATAACGCACAACAAAGAATGTAAAATTTTTGATAAATTACTTCTTTGTTGTAAAAAACAATTTTTAAAGTAAAAAGATAGACGAAATCAAAGTTAAAATGAGCTTATTAGAATTTACATTTAAAATTTTATCGAGTTGCGGTTGTTGGATACCGAATTCTTGGATGTCTCCACATCGACGATTAATATATCACGTGTACACTATTTTTATACTTTTACTGATAAATACATTTACATTGTCGCAATTCTTGGATATAATTCTGATCGTTGACAATTCGGAAGATTTCATGGATAACTTTTACATGCTGCTTGCCATGATTGTTTCTTGTTTCAAAATGTTTAGCCTGTTAATAAATCGTAATAATATCGCCATGCTTACAAATATTCTTATCAATAAACCGTGCAAAGCATGTGATACAGTCGAAATAGAAATACAACATAAATACAATAAGCTAATTGAGTAAGTACATTGCATGACAATCATTTTGTATTTATATTTCACATTTAATTATATACTAAAGAATTAAACAATTTATATTTTCTTAAAAGATTGATATAAAATTTGATTAAAATGTATAATGTCTTATTAATTAAGTTTATTAAAGAGTATTAAGAATATTATTTTTCAACAATATTATTTTTTGTATTTTCTTAGAAATTTTGTAATTTTATAACTTATAATAATTCTTTTAATACATTCTTTTTTTAACAAACAATTAATATGTAATATACATTGTTTCTTATCAAAATTATTGTTTAAAGAATTAAAATTGTGTACCACTAACTTTTCAATTTGAAAAATTAACAGATTTATTTAACTAGAAGTTATCTTGATAAAAAGTATGAAAGAGAGATTATCATTAAAGAAAGCGTTGAATATCAAAATGAAATGCATGCAGCTGTTTTACAGGACAAATACTCTGTATTATATGATCCTAGTTGAATTAACATGTGCATCCACGGCTGTAGCATCTTTGCTCACGGATTACAAAAAAGAAAAATTAACATTCAGAGCGTGGCTGCCATTTGATTACTCCTCAACAATGCTTTTTCATTTTACGTATTTTCATCAATTAATAAGTTTGACAGTTGGATCTGTTTTACATGTTGCTTGCGATGGTCTTATTTGCGGATTATTGTTGCATATATGCTGTCAATTAGAAATATTAAGTTGTCGTTTGAAAAATATTGCACATAATCCAGAAATACTTCGCGATTGTGTTATTCAACACAATCTTTTATTTAAGTTCGTTTTTATAATTATTCTTTAAATATTTTTTTAATATACGTAAACAAGTTGAATAAATGTCTTTCTATCTGAATAATTTATTTAACATATTTTTAAACTTGTTTAAAATTTTTATTTCTTTGTACATCACAAATCAAAAATGTTTATACATTGTAACTTTTAATTTTTATATTTTTTAAATATTTCCATCAATAATAAAATATGTTAAAATGTGTTCAATTGATTTCAGATTTGCGTTTCTATTGAACAAAAAATTTAGGTTTACTATCACTTTTCAGTTCATAGTAAGTACATTAGTGGTGTGCTTTACTTTATATCAATTAACTAAGCCAAGCGGAAAATTCGTTGAATTAGGAATGTATATGTCGTGCATGCTGACACAAATCTTTTTGTATTGCTGGTACGCAAATGAAGTAAAATTGAAGGTAATATACATTTTTTTTTAGAATAGATATTTCCCTATGTTAATGTTCCTAATTAGTTTTTATTTATTAATTTTTTATTTTTTATATTATCTAGATACAATATATATTGATAAATATACATATAATGTACATATTTTATTTATACTGAAGTATAAAATGCTTTTTAAAGTGCACAAAAATTATGTATGCAATTTGCGTATTAATTAAATCTTTTTTTGTTATAATTAAGACCTTAATAAATAATCATTTTCATTTTAAATAGAGTTTACAATTAGTCAATGATCTATTTGAAATGGAATGGTTTACATTAAGACAAGATATAAAAAAGGATTTATTAACAATTGCATTACGTAGTAGAATGCCGATCGAATTCAATAGCGCTTATATTATATCTATGAATCTAGATTCGTTTGTGGGTGTTAGTATAAATCATTAATTTTTATATTATGATAATTATTTTATGATAATTAAAAATGTCTATTTATTTTTAAAGTATAAATATTAAATTATTAAATATATTTTTAACTTATGTGAAACACAAAATGATTTTGTACATTGCAGTTGCTTAAGACATCGTATTCGACCTACAATATACTTCAGCAAACGCAAAATGACAAAGCTAACTAGGAAAATTGTTATATATATTCGTTGTTACATATACATT